TTTAAATAATTTGAATAATTTTTTATTAATTTATAAACAAAAATATGTATTTTAAAAAATTTCAAAAAGTTTTGTTATATACTATATATAATACTTATTTAAGAATATAAATAATAAATATATTTTCTTTTCTTTCTTTTTTTTGGCTGTATAAGTACATATAACAGTAATTTTTACCTATTAAATAATCAAATAAAAATTATAGAACTTGATAGAACATTCAGTAGCAACAATCTGTCAATAATAAAATAATAGACTAGAAGAATTTTTACTCAAAGCCTACTATAGAGCAAAATATTGCTTTCAAAATCAAACTTAAAGACTATTATTATCTATAACAAGTTAGTTAGATTTAATATTGATGTTTAGCTATAGTATATATTATAATACTCAAATAAAAATATACTTATGTTTTCAATTGATTAATAAGTTATGATCTAGTCTAGTTATGAGTACTCAAAAAAAAAAAATTAAGTAATAGATAATATGAATTGTAGATTCTTATTTTTTACTTAAGTTTCTTAAGTAGTAATAAAGCTTTAATGAAAGAAAACTAATGTCTAATATTTTTTTTGAAATATCCCAATTCAATACTTATTTAAATAAAAAATCTATTGTATTGATTTGTCTGTTGTTACAAATAATAATAAAGAAAATTTCTTTTAAGATTTAAATAAAGTAAGAAAAATATTTCAATCAGACAGATCTTTTTTGAAAAGATGTTTTATTTTTTACATTTTTGATGGATCTTAAATTATTCTCTTTTTTTTTTTCATTATTACATTTTTTTTTTAATTTAATAATTCATTGATTTTTAAATCAATCAATAGTGATAAACTGTTAATAATAATTCAAATAGATAGAAAATATAACCAATCTATTAAATAACTATAATATTGATTTTAAAATTCGACTTAGAGTATCCATATACTATATAAAAATAAGTTGATCACATTATAAAAGTCTATAAATTATTGTAAATTTTATTTTAATTTTTCAATAAAAACAAGCTATCAAGATATGATTGTAAATTAAAAAAAAAATAAATAAATAAAAATATAAAGTATAGATCTAGATATAAGAATATTTAAATATATAGTATATTAAATTTATATATTTTATATTTATCTATTTCAAATAATAAGTGTTTTATATTTTTATTATCAAAAATTAAACTTTTTATTTTTTATTTTTTATTTTTTTTAATCATACTGACTGGGCTTTATTGATTGGTTATTAAGGAGTTATACAGAGTTATTTTACAAGAACAATTCTTATATCTAATCTATACTATTCTAATTCATTCAAATCACTCTTAGATTTTACCCAATATGGATATTATTCTGTTAGCTGCTCTGCTGTACCCAGGTATTTCTGGTATTCCAAGGATCCATCAATGAACTTTCTTTTATATTCAGGAAGTTATTTTTGGAGTTGTTGGATTCGTGGGATCTGTTATACCTTATGGAATATATGTTCTATAATTGACATTCTTTTTACCATACTTAGTCCTCAGAAAGTTAGTTGTCTATTGATATTCTTCAGTTTCTATGCAGTCTTATCGAGTCTCCCGATGGCCATTGGTGAGTCAGATTGATGACTGTAGTCTTCCAGTAATCATGTTTTAACCACTCTTCAAATATGGTTTTTCCAGGAGTGTCTCTTGGTTACTTCATAACAGATTGCTTCTCCCATTGGATTGATTATCTTGGTGATTGTTTTCAAATTTTCTTCTTCCAGGATCTACCCCTGTTATCCTCTATCATGATTATTTAACTTCATTACTTCTCATTGGTGATCCGTGAGATCCAATCTCTGGTAACTGTTGGTGATAGTAATCAAAGATCTCCCAGTATGTGTCCGATCCTTACATTTGCAGCTGGTATATGGGATCAAAGTTTTCTAGACCTTCCATGAGATCAGAATTTTTAAGCTGAAATAGATTCCATATGAGACTGATAGGTTTCTGAGTTTTATTATTGTCTTTCTTGACATTTTTTGATGTTTGTGTATATTCTAAGTAGCAAGGATGTCGTGGCTTGTTTTCTAGTACTAAAACTGATCAGGACCTGTGTGACCTGATTTATGATACCATGGTTAGACAGTAGGTTTCTATAGGTTGTTTTATGTTCAAATATGCATGTGACTAATTAGTATATATTCTTATACTACATAACCTATAATACAAATACTGTTTTGAAGTGGGATTGAACCAGTAACTTGTGAATTGTGATCTGGGAACATATCCACTGCACTATTGACCTACAGGTCTCCAAAAATTAAACTATTTTGATATACTTGTAATATATTTATAATAAATTTTATATTTAAACTATATTATTTAATAATTATCTACATATTAAAAATTGATACAAGTAATTATTATATGCAATATATTGTATAAATATTATTACAAATGAATTTTTTGGAATTAACTTTAAATTACAATTCTCATTAGAATTCAGTATAAATTTTATCTTATTTTTATTATATATATTATTTATAAAATATAATAGTTATAATATTTTTAAAAGAGATAATTTGAAATTTTAATCTTTTTTAAAATTGAATCCAATGTATTTCTACATATTGTTAATGAAAATCTTTAAAAATATTACATACAGTATATTAAATGTAGTTATGCAGATAAATATTTAATTTTGAATAATACTGAATAAAAAAATAATTGTTGATTTCCAGTAATCCATAAAGATAATTGTATGAAATCAATTTGACGAATTATTAGAAATAATAATCATTTAACTGATAATAAAAAATGATATCTTATTACCAGAAAGATGGAAGATTTATGAAAAGATGATTTCAGTAATTCTGTAGATATGCAGTAAGTATGACTTTATAATAAGCTAGTTTATTCTAAAATAGAAAGTGGTCGTGAGTGTGGGTTTCGTTATTTCATGAACAAACATTGGAGCACATGACATGGTCATATTGATACTAAAAAAACCATTTTTTTTTTTTAATAAATAGTACAATAGTACAGTTAGTTGTTCATGAAGCATGCCAGTTTTTCGTTTTGATTATATTAATATACAGTATTTTATGTATGAATTTATTGAAAGAATCAATTGCATAAAATCGATTGTTCATTTTTTTAAAGTAACAATTAAACAAAATTTACAAGTAAAATACAATATTACGTTCAAAAAAAAATATATATAAAATCTTCTAAGATCTTAAAGAATAAATGAAAAAATCATTCGGATCTTGTCTATGCATTACAAATGCACTTTTAAAGAAAATTTTATAAATCAATTATGTCAAATTTGCTGATTTCACTTTTGCCACAATTGGTGGATTTTGATTCACTTAATTTAATATAGTCTTTCAGTGAGGAAGGATTCTCTGATATTTCGCCGACGCTACCGCCTATTCCATCTCCCTTAGAATTCCTATCATTCTTATCGTCGTCACCTAATTTCCCACTATTCGCACCCAGGTTATCCATCGTTGCGCCCCCTCTCTTTCCTCCTTTCTCTCTTACACCGCCCAGGTATCCATTGCCTCGTAAACCTCCTCTGATCAAGTTATTGTTGTAATATCCTACGGACAACCGGTTCGGATTCATTCGATAGGTAGGCTCTGGTTTTACCACAGCCATTCGTGTGGTGTAGGCGGCGGAATTTCTGCGCTCATCCTCTTCTATTTGTTCAGGCGTCGGGTGTAGCGAACGGTTCAGTGGACGATTTGTCGATAATGACACGGGGTTTGACAGGAACGAAGCGAAATGGTGTGATCGCAATAGGAGTAATATTGAAATCATCGATATTGACTTGGACAAGTCATCTGTCAACTATTTGGTATAAGTGTATTAGCCGAAGTGTTCAGTGTCAATAGCGAATCAACCGTCAAAAAGGAATTACCCTTTCTTTCCAGAAATTATTAACGTTAGGTTCAAAGTTTGAAAAGATGACATTTGAAATGGTCAAGAAGGAAAACGAGAACGTAAGGATAACCAGGATGATTAAGACCTAGTGGCATTTAAACATCGCCGATTAGCTCAATACCTTGGAACGTGTTTCACCACTCTTCGTCCGTGTATACAAAGAATCAATACCTGCAGAGCCCTCTTCTTATCAGCCTTGCTGGAAAACTTAAACGTCAAAGTTTCGCCGATCTTTTGATTGATCTCACGATTGGTCGCCAGATCATAAATCATGAACATTCCAAATGTCAGATAGCCCAGATCCACTAGAGCAATGAACAGCGACTTGTTGACGATCGAAAGAACAGTCGAGAAATGACTACTTTGAGTAGTTTTGGCCATTAAGTTAAAGAAGAATGCTACCACGATCAAGCAGATACCGAATACCAAAATATATCTCTGTAATTCAGCAGCCAGCCTAACAATTGGTGAAAGATTCACATCAAATTTGGTGACCTCTATCGATGCTTTTATCCTACGCAGCAAAATAATGGAGAGGATGCAGGTGTGATGAGTGCGAGAGAGAAATTGGTGAACGAGCGATAGAAATTCGTACCATGAGTATTGTAAGCCAACATAAAATGTGCAGAGTAAAAGGAAAACGACTCCCGTGATCACTGAATATTTTGTCGCAGAGAGCCACGCTCCACTCACGTTTCCTGGATCAATGTGAAGAATTATCAACGAGGCTAAGGGAGTAAAAAAAAAAAAAAAATCGCCGATTAATTTAAAAACGATTCCATCGGAAAGTCAGATCAAATCGAATTAATCTAATATGTACCCATTGAACAAAATGCGACGCCGGGTAGCACGAACGAGTTTGGATTTGAAATGAATCTTGTCGAATTATCAGGGAATTTCCAGGTTCCCGAGGAATAACATATGGCACCGCATGAAAATATAAATATCAACGCGTAGATGACGCCCAATAGGACCGACCACACAATCCAATTTCGACTTTTCAGTAATCGAATCCACGGACCAACATCTTTAAATTGATTATTTGTGTTTTGATTAATCAGGAATTCTTGTTCGAAGACTCTAGTGGTTAAAAGGTTCACCTGATGTGACAGAAACTTTACTCGTTACATTCGAGAGATTCATCAGTTTGGCCACATCATCTTTTCGAAGCAACGTCAGCCCCACTTTTGCATTCTGTATTTTTCCCTGATTATCTAATGGCTCTTTTATTCCAGGATCTCCGCCATTCGTTGACGTAAAAACAACTACTTGAGGAATACCCGATGACGGAATGGGATCATCACGTCTCATTAGTTGTTGAACGATTCCAGAATTCCTCGATTCAAAAGTTTTCCGTACAAGTTCACCACACTGATCCTTACAATCCAGTGGATGCGCACAGTCGCATGCTATCAGCGGTGAAGGAGTTGATGATGCCATTCGTTTTTTAACGTCAGCAGTGTTATTAACCGGTATCGAATAGGTCCCGTTTGGCAGAATCGTCGTTCCATCTAGCAGACCGGTTTGATTGTTGATCGATGGTGTCATATCTTGCGTTATCCAAGTGTTCCTGAAAAAGATCACATCATGAAGAATGATTGAATAAAGATAAATATCCGAATCACAAGTGCTTTGACAGTGAGAAATATCCACCTCGAAATCAATTCATCAATTGAATCGCAACCCAATTCCTGAGCTTTATCGAACGGAATGATCAATAAGGCCATACCAACGGAAATGGGTTTAAGTGTGCACGGCGATGATCCGGCGTCATCGATCTTTCCGGAAACACTTGTGGCATCCTGTTGTTCGAACTGGGCGATTTCTAATTTCCCTTCGATTATCGTATCACTTTTGTAATAATTGAGATCCGAATTTGAATAAAATGAAAATGGGAAATCGGCATTTGAAAAGGAGGTCAACTCGTTGTTTGATGAGTCGTATAATATTATTTCCGCATCGACCGTGTTGAACCTTGATAAAATGAAGAGACAAGATGATAAGAGTAATATGCAACATTTATGGTATATTATCCTATGAAGTATTACATTAAGAATTACGTGTATTAGTTGAGACATGATGAATTTGATTATTTGAGCATATATCATATAAAAAAAAAAAAAGCTTTTTTTTTTTTTTTTTTTTTTGGATTTTTTGGATTTTTTTTTTTCGTTTTTCCCCTCTTCCTCTTTTCTGCCGGAGAAGAAGGTAGAACAAAAAAATTGTATGTTCAGACGTTATTATATAAAGATGCTTGTTTGACCATTAAAGGAAATGGTGATAATGATGTCGCGTTTGGTATCAAAAATGTTGTGCGCACGTCAATTGATAGTGTGTGGGGTTACAAGGTTTATTACTATTACTGATAATAGGATAAATGTGAGAAAAGGTGATGCCGATTCCGTGGGCAACTTTAAACATAAACTTGCGACTCGGTTCAGGGGTGTGAAATACAGGCGCACTTTTTTTAACACTCGAAATTAAATTTTTTCTTGCGAAAAGGATTAGGGGATAGATATATAGTGGATATCATCGTTATTACGAGTTTAGGCCAGTTAAACATATGTTTATATATTTATATACGTGTATATATATAAATATACTACGTATATACTAAACTTACCTGATTTGCGCACACAGGCCGGATTGACCTTAATATGCTACCAAACATCTACAGACAAAAACCAAATTCGGAATTCTTGTTTATCTTTATTAGATCAGACGCGGTTTCGAATTATCGAGTCATGATTTGAGAACCAAAATCAGACAGACTCCTGTCGCATAATTTCATCGTTCCTAAATTTTCCGTGCATACTAGAAAGCAAATGGGGGCGATTATTTATACATATAACCAGTGACAAGAAATAAAATCAATCCTAATAACGGAGTCGAATGCGTATACGTAAAATGCATAAACATACGGTGCATACAGTATTATTATTTTTACGGAAGATCGTTTGTGGTGGGGCTATATCTTTACGGTACGTGTGCGCGTACCCTCCTCCTTAATACTGTATTATTATTTATTTGTTCATGCAGAAACTACTCATCATACAATAGTTTCTTTCCATTCTTTCTTTCATTTAATTAATTTTTTTAATGCACAAAAAAATATTTGATTATTGTCATTAAACATAAGATGCAGTCCCACGATCGTCAAAATGTGATGTCGTCCCACGTGTAACCACGGGATTCGAGCTTGAAACCCCGCACGAATAACTGAATACACGTTAAAACCTTGATTTTCTCCGGATCTCCTTTAATTCATTTATGGTAGCTGATAAACGCTTTAATTTTCTATTAATTTCCACATTAATTGTCGCTCTCAATCTTATGTTTGCACTTCGGACCTTGACATTCTTGACATTTCCGGGTTTCTATGTTTTAGGATTCACCAGAATTCAACAAATCTTCCCTCATCTAAAACCATTCCGTACTCCTCGGATTTCAAATTTTCGGTCATGCAAATAAATTTTGGAAGATTCATGTCTGATTCTTAAAAAGCGGGAAAAAAAAAAAAAAAAAAAAAAAAACCTCCGATGAACAAAATGAACGGAATCGAATGCAAGATGGCAGTAACATAGTACCCAAAGTAGAGATCGGTGGGTAGTTTGGCGGAGCCGAAATCCATGTACCATCGGGTTTTCTCTGATTTGGAAGTTGTAAAGAGAATCCGTGAACCGTTGCGAATATGTTAGATCAATCCAACAGATTAGAAATACCGACCATATGACTCCGATCCGAGGAAAACACCTTGAGAAATACTTCTGATGGAACAATTCTATATTTGCTAAAGGAGAAAAAAAACAAATTCATTCAATCATTCGGGCACTCTTCGACGAAAGATTCCTTTGAATACCGATGGTACTGGGGTGCATCCGCAGGAATCAAAGCCTCCCGGATGTAGGTTTCGATGTCACACGGAAACGGAAGGGTGGTGTCGAGGTCGTACACCCATGTCCTAAAAAAAAATGATGCCATGGGGAACAGTTGGTGGTGGCACGATTTGTGATGAAAGTCATATACTGCTTTGGTTTCACGAAGAAAGTGTATGCGCGGTAGTTCGCGGTGATCGTACCTTTCAATGCTTGCCGGATCGTTCTCCCTCAGTAAAAAAATTACGTGATAATCCTGAATTCCATTTTTTTTTTTTTTTTTTTTTTTTTTTTTTTTTTTTTTTTTTTTTTTTTTTGTGGGTGGTTGTTGTTGTTTTGTTGATGTTGTATGGGTGGCTGTAGTTTTGGGTGTTTTTTTTTTTTGCTTCC